AACTAATGTTCACTGAACTTATTTATCTCTTCACTTATTTTTGTTTTATTAGTACATGTTTGCATTTCACAGTGATTACATTCATGGTGGGGAGTTGGTACACATAAGTAACATCTCAATTCTTATTTTTCCCCTCTGGTCTAATCCCTTCTTTTTTGACAGCTTCAGATTTATTTCTTTATAAGTCCTTATAATAAGTTAATTATAAATTAACTTAAACACTAAATTCAATACTGAATTTAAAAATTATCTATTCATTTTTTAGTTTCTAATAACTTATATGTAAAATATTTAGTATTAATAATTGAAACTTGATTCCAGTAAAAAACGGTGAATATAATTATAAAAGACTACCTGTGATGGGAGGTAGTTTCACTCTATTTTCACCAGCATGAAGACTCTTCCAGGTCAATTGTTTTTTACATTAAACTCCAGGGAAAATTTATTCTCTTTTTCATTTTAAAGAGAGTAGTAAGTGAGAAACAAACAACAAAATAGAACAGTAGCAGCTACACTGAATTTTGTTCATGAATACTATTTAGAAGTGTAGAATTACTACTTAAGGTTTGTAAATATTTTCACTAGTTAGAAATTTATATGACTTTGGACATAATGTTTATATTTATCACCATTATAGCCTTTCTTTACCACTTTGTTATCCACCAAAATTTAGGATTACTATACACTTGCTGTGTATTAAATTCTTCCAAAAGAAGTCTGTATGAGGGCAATTGTAACAGTATTGAGAGTAGTGATTTGTAGCCAAGTTGGAGAAGCATATTAATATTTCTCCATTTAAACTAGAGCACCAATCTGAATTTGAATTTCTAATCTATCCATTGTAATAAGACAAAAAGAAATCACAACTAGTTTATATGTAGGGAAGAAAGGTAACAATCATTATTACTAAATGATATATTGTTTACCTAGACAGTTCAAGAAAATGAATTAAAAGGCATCATAAACAATAGATGCATTTAATAAAGCTGTAGGGTGTATGTTAATATTGTAAAATCGCTTGCCATGTTATCTGAAAAACAATGGCAAAGTGAGAAGAAAAATATATGCTAGTTTTCATAATAGCATTGAATGGTATAATAGGAGAGAACAAATTAATAAGAAATGGAACTAGGGGCTGGGGATTTAGCTCAGCAGCACAGTGCCTGCCTGGCAAGGGCAAGGTCGTGAGTTCAATTCCTGGTACGGGAAGAAAAAAAAAGAATGGAACTATGAGAAAAACATTATAAAATGCTTCTACATAAGCAAAATAAAGTTTAAGTAAGCATACATAAGGTTTTAAATTCAAAGATACAATATGCTAAAAATTGTTTCTTTATAAATCTACATATATAATGTTAAATTTTATAAAAAATTTTGAAGTAGGCAGGCTGTTTCTAAAATTTATGTGGAAAAATAAACAAAGCACACAGGGCAAGAACTATTCTGAAAAATGAAAGTAATAAGGAAAGAGCAAACCCAACCACATTATAATGCTATACTAATTAAAACAGTGTGGTGCTGGCACATGTCTAGACAGATTGATTAGTATAATAAACCAAGAAAGCCTTAAATAGACTCAGCAATGTACAGGCATTTAGTATATGTTAAAGGTGGCATTGTAAATAGAAGGAAAGGATTTATTCAATAAGTATCTTGGAACAACTAAATAAACATCTGGTAGAAGATGAAGTTCAATCCCTACCTCACATGCTAGCAAAATGAGATTCAAAACGGATCAAACATTTAAATACATAAGAAAATGTTTTTATAATCTGAGCATGAAAGAACTTTGTAAGTCAAATGTGAATCTGGAAGCTGTTTTTAAAAATGATATGTACAGTTGCAAAAATGCCAAAGAATTCTGCCTGAATTAAGTAAAACAAAAATAGTAAAAGATTAATTAAAAGTTAGAAAATCTGTAAAGGACATAAAAATTAAGGAATGATTTTCATTGTCTTTTAATATTTTCTTTGCATAATCAGTATAATTTAATCTACTGAAATTTGTGGAAAGAATTTCAAAATTATAAGCAAGGTAAAATTAACAGTTGTATAACAAATGAAAAGATGTTCAACTTTATAATAAAAGAAATTTAAAATTACATTGCAATATGATTTTTCAGTTTAGAAAACAAAGAGACAGGCTTTTTTCAGAACTGGCAATAGGCTGGACTTTCCTATAACAAATAATTTGACAGAAATTACAAATTAAATTCTCTTTAATTTATATGGATCAAATATTATTTGTAATTATATGGATCAAACCTCTAAATACATAAGAAAATGTTTTCATAATCTGAGCATGAAGGAGATTTGCAAGTCAGATGTGAATCTGGGAGCTGTTTTTTTATAATGGAACAAGTTGTATGATAGAAATTACCTTCTCAGTGTTAGAGCACTTGATTAAGAAATTATGTGAGTTAGAGACGTTGAAGATTTCTGTGAAAACTGTATTAAAAGAAGGCACAATTCTGAATTAAAATATTTTGGCATAAGTGGTGCATGCATGAGGTATGTTCATCCTTTGTCCAGGCAGTTCTGCTTCTAGGAGCTTACTGCAAGCTATGCGTGCTCATACGTGGAATGCTAGGAACCTGTAATCAAATTTTATACTCCTCTAAAAAGGATACAGCATGAATTAGGAATTTTATTTTCTACATAAAAGTACTCTGGTGCCTCCCCAGTGCCACCATGGTAGGAGCAAGGACCCAGGTTTCTTTTGTCTTTCTGTCAGTAGTTTTCACTGTGTGGCTTGCCATCTAGTTACTGCACGCCTCCTTTTCTGTTCTGAACATCTCATTGTTATTTCAGGCACAAAGACTGGAACCCTGCTTTCTGCACTCTTCTAAGGACCTTCTGAAACCCCAACAGTCTCCTCTGCTTCCCTCTCATTGGCCAGAACTGCAGGAACAGCTTCCCAAAGGGCAAGTTACTTGGGAGCTGTTGTACTTTAGCTGGGTGCATTTCTACCATGAACAGAATGGCCTTCCATTATGAAGAGGAGATTCTTGGCAAGTGATGAAAGTTACATGGACATGCGTGTGTGTGTATCCTCATGTGAAGAGAGTCTCTACAAAGAATAAGAAATGGGCAGTCTTAGTCTTTCTCTTAGGAGGAAAGAGTTATAAGAATAAAAAGATGTACTTTTTATCATATCATCTTACAATCTTCAAACTTTATATTTCATGCATGCATCACTCATTCCAAAATATTTTAATTCAAACTTATGTCTTCCTTTAATGCAGTTTTCAAGGAAATCTTCAAAGTTTCTAATTCATATGATTTCTTAATCCAGTTATTTTATACTAAGAAGGTAATTTCTATCATACAACTTGTTTCATTATTAAGACTAATTGACTTTCTTTGATAAAAGGAATGATCTGGGTTAAAATTTCAGCTTTACCAGTTCTATGTTGTATGGTTTGGAGAAATTCTTCTAATTTCTCAAAATAGAAGTTTTCTTATGTAGAACATGTGGGTACGTTTTTTATTCAGCATTCCACTAGGTGTTATGTGTAGTACATTTAACAGAGTAGGTGCTTCATAAGAGAAGATGTAGTGTATCTATCAGAGTTACAATGATAACTACTTATGAGAACATTAAAGTGGGGTTGTGTAACCTCTTATTCTCTCTGTCTCTCTATATAAATAGCATTAAGAAGAAGAAGAATAGAAAGATTAGCAGTTCAAACATTGCTCAGTGGCAGTAGCAGCTGAAGCAAAGGACAGAAGCCTATGTCTTACATCACACTCTGAAAACATCAGTTTTGCAATCATCAAATCAAGTGTTATAAGCAGTTAAATTACCAGGCTCTTCACTATTAAATGTATATGTCCCTTAGACTGAATACTAGTAATACTAGGTTTTGGACTCTGAAAATGGAAAGCACTGAACGTATGATTGCCAGATTAAAAGGAAATTGAAATTTCGGCCTTAGTTATAAATTTCTATCACTTCAATGTCCATTGGCAGTAGAATCGAAAAGTGACTTTCCAAAGAGCCCACAAGGTAACTTAAAGAGTTTACCTGAAAAATGAACCCACCATAAACCTAAGGTAGTATGGACTGTCTATACGTTAACATTCTTGGTTGGTCCAATTTCTAAAGTGTTGTGTGCCCTATTCAAATATGTTTTCTTATAACTGAGAAAAACTAACCCAAATGGCCCTTTTGAATTGTTAATGGTTTTATAAATAAAAGACCAAAGCCATTAGTAAGCAGCATGCTTTCTTTTGCATCGTGTTTTCCACAAAGAAGCAACTTTTGTGTATTTCATAAGGACTTCTGTGCATATAATGTGAGATGCAGAAGTCAGCTGTGCAAGTAGGCAGTGGAGGATCAGCTGAGCTCAATCGCTTTTCCATTCTGTCACCCATCCAGTCTATTCCTCAAAAAGAGAATGCCAGAATATGCCACGTCCCACTACTTGAATGTTGCCTGGAAATAACTTTTTTAGTTATATTTTTGAAAGCTAGGAGTCTGATCTACTCCCATAGCTTGTAATAGTTTACATTTAACCTTTAACATAGTTCTGTGTTGGATACAGTTGACTATTTCAGTATCTTACTGCTTTCGTTTAATATTAAATATATTCTGAATTTGAAGAGTGTTGCATATTGATTGAATACTGTCTACCCAGGAAGTTATACAAATCTTTGTAAATAAATAGCATATTCAAAATTTCCACTTTCTTTGGAAGCTGGATATAACATTTATAGGCAAGGTAACTGAAGATTTTATTTTTACTTAATCAAGGTTCTTGAAATGCTAGTGTAACAGCCTGAAAAAGTCATGAAATTGTTAGTCAGTTGTTCAGAAAGGTTGTGTTTAGCCCTTGGCCAGAATATACAAGTCTTGCAGTTTTGCAAACCATTAACTGTATCAGTAACACAGACATACAGGACAGAATGCTGAAGCCAGGAGGAGCTGAATGTGTTCTTTGTGCTCCCTCATCCTGCGGCCTTCACCAGCTCGGCTGTGTCTTACACATTTCAGGCTGTGAGACACTCGCTACGCTTCCCTCTTCCCTCGCCCGAGAGCTGCCAAGGAGGGCCTGGGAGGGCCAGCGCTGGAGCAGCTGGAGTGTGGCACCCTGCCAAGCAAAGGCAGCAGCCAGATAATCACCAGTTGTAAGCCTCACGTATTTATATATTACACCCCTGTTTGTACAGTAAACAACTTTGTGTATCTTTCAGAATCTTTTATGGGCTAAAAATTTTAGGGTGAGAAGCATTTTTTTTCTCATTTTCTTTAAAGTATCTGCAAATTTTCAGGTTTTCACTCTTTGCACATGTAGTCTTTAAAGCTTAAAAGAGGCAATGCGGCTCATGCAGAAGGCTGGGGAGAGAGAAGGAAATAAAACAACACTGGGTTACACAACTCTTCTGTCCTTAAAGACAGCTTGGAGACATGGAAACCATATGTGAACGGTTAGCTAATAAAATAAAATGCCAAAATGTGGTGGCTAACGCTATGGCACCCAAAATGTAATTGGACATATGCTCATTTACTTGCTTATAATCAAAACATTAAAAAGCTGTTTTGAACTCAGGTTAGGTGTAAGTATTGAACTAACTCAATTTATGTAATTATCTCAAATGGAAGGAATGTACTGGTGCTATGGTGTTATTATTATATTAAGAAAAATAAACAATGTATAAATGAATAGATAACACTTAAGCAAAACCAAAAAGTTCCTATTGCTCACATTAAAAAGAGGAGAACAACTTATTAATTTCACACTGAAGCTATTTTCCGATGAACGTGCTATTTGGCTAGTGTGCCTGCTGTAGGTTTATCATGTTCATGCAAATGAATGTCAGTTTGCTGGGTAATTGATGCAAATTTCATTTATTCAATCAAAAATAACAGCTTTTAGTAGTCTGCTGAAATACCCAGAATGTCAGGCTTTGGTTGCTAAATTTGGGTTATCCACTACATGAATCTGGATTTCACATGTGCATTCATTCAAGAATGTCGAGATAGAATTGAGCTTCTCCTAGCCAGGGGAGAACTTTGTAACTGGTTGATCTATTTACCTTCATTTATTAATTTGTTTGTTTGTTCATCCATTAATTGGATTATAGAAAAAATGCAGTTATTAAAATAGATCATTTACAGCATCACTCATGTTTCAATTATGGACCAAAGAACAGAATTTAATTAGATGTTTTTAATTTAAGGAACATTGAAGGAAAGAAAATTAATCAGTAATAATAAAATGTTGATATGTCTTAATTATATCAGAAAACATTTGACTAGAAACCTGAATGAAGATTAAAAGAAAGAAGTAAATGAAAAAATTAAAAATAAATTTTCCTTCCTCAAAATAAGAATGCATAAGAAACAAAACAAACACAAATCCAATGTGTACAGAACATTTGTGAAGCAATTTTTAACCTCCGTCAAAACATAACCTAAACTGAGTAACAATGGCAAGACCTGATGATACGTAATTATATTGCAGTTCAATTATTTCCTGTCCCGTATATCTAAATACATGCTTTCTAATGAATCCACAAACCATCTGTTTCATAGGCCAGAAATGTATTGAAAATTTACTCTACACCTGGGGTACATATAATTATTTATCAAAGGGCAAATTTTTACAGCAAAAATGATTTTACAGTAAGGTAAACTTCCGGGCAGATTAATAAGATCGCCCTGGCAGGAAGTCTATGTCTCAAATGTGTGGCTGATACAAGCAGAGTCATAAAGAGTGAAAATGGGGAAAAACTGGAAAAAGAGACACTTGGTGGCCTCCAAGAGCTGACCAAGTCAGGAGATAAAGGGACAACGAAGGAACATCTCAACATGCTCAGAAGAAAAAGTGATTAAGTTGGATTGAACTCTGAAAATAGGACTAGTTAATTCGATACTTTCAATTCTGTATTGCAACTTTAAAATTACTTGATTTTTTATTATATTTTATAGGCCTGGAGATGAGGAATAGCTGGGGTGGGGCTCATAAAAGGGACATAGAAATAAGTGCTTGTGGTTAATTCTACAGATTTGCTTTCAACATGGAACTTGCCATGAAATGAAAAAGACATGGTAGACCTGGTACTGATGCATGTCTGAGGGAATGGAGGGTGGAACGCTGCCTAACAGTGTGGAACTACTCATCAGAATTGTACTCTTCTAGTGTCTAAATAATAGAAACTCAATCATTAAAAGATTGACTGATTGCAGGAAAGTATGAACATAAAAATATTAGAGACAAAGAATCACAACAGCTTGTAAATTTACAGCAAAATGAAATATGATGGAATCATTTACTTTTAGCTTTTTACAGAAGAAAATCTCATTCTATGGAACCAAGGAGAAAGCAAAAGATCTTTACGTAATATCTCTGGTGATTTCAGAGCATCTTTCTGAGTTCCTAAAGTTTGTGTTCAGTATGGAGAAGGGAATAGCTCTTTCTAAAGCAGTGGCCTGTATAGCTATTAACTTTAGCTAATTCTCAAAGCTTACTAATGTTTTAACAAATTAAAGTTTGCTGATTCTTACTTATTTTGTTTCAGAAATGGTGCTTTAAGATGACATATTTTAAAATATAAAATAATATATGTTATAAATGCATATTGAATCTTTCACTATGAAATGTTCATTATATGTGAAGCAATTGTCTTAAGTGATTTCAGTACACCATACTGGTCAAAAACAATGGCCTTGGAGCCAAACTGCTTGCTTCAAACTGTGTCATTGATAACCTCATCCCCTTTGACTCACTCTTCTCCTTCCCAGTTTCTCATCTCTGTGTAATCTAAGTAATGGTATTTGCTTCATACCTCGTGGAAATGTTGTAAACATCAAGTGGGTATTGTACATAATGTACTTAGCATCCTGCATATACAAAGCATGTAGCATACATTAATCCTTACCATATAAAAGGAGGAGAAAACACAAGACCGTAGATTTTAAGAACCAGGCGTGTCTGGTCGGCCTGTCTCCAGAGTACTTTCTCACCGGCGGCTCACATCTTCAGCTGGACTCCCAGAGACACCGAAATGGTTGGTCTCAGAGTGCTTCCTCTCCCGCTTGCCTAAAGACTATCAAACATTCCTTACTGTCTCCCGACCTCTGCAGAATTCAGTGAACCCCGAGATCCAAAAGCTTAGCTCATTCAAGAAAAGAGTTTCAACTTCTTCAGCAAAGTCAGAATGGCTCTTCAGTTTGTTTGTTTACTTAGGATTGTGTAACCCTCCAAGGAAAACACTTAAGATTTTGGAGAGTAGTTGATTTTTAGTGCTGAAAAAAATGACATGATAACTGGGCAGAGTTGGTTCCAGAGGGGGCAACAGCCTATAAAATCAAGAGACACTTCAACCATCCTGTTAAAGTCAGAAAAATCCATTATCAAGTTGTAGAAGGAAAACAACTTGCGGAAATATCTTCTAGGGCCGACCGTTTCCAATCACTGGTACTCCATTCATTATACGCTTCAGTGGTTCCAGGAACAACAGAAGACCGTGCGCTGTTACAGCGCCAAGGACAAGAAAGGCAGCACAGCCCGTCGGGCTGACTTCCCCTCACTGCAGTCCCAACATTTCAGGCTTCACTACCCTTGCCCGCTTGAGTTAGTCACTCGGGACGTGAAGCTGGAGCCCCGGACTCCCTTCTCAGGCAGCCCTTCCTGCCTCTGCTGGACCATCTGGGGCTTCCGTCGGCTTGAGACCTAAAATGCACAGACCCAACTCGAAAGGGAAGAGTGGTCCTCATTTTAAGAATTACATCATCTACTTTTTTTAACCCTGCCTACAAGACAGTCTCATCTCTAGGTGATAAAACAGATGATTATAATATTAAGATTAAAAGACATGTACTTAATGACGCTATAGAGGTCTCTGACCTTTCGTATAGCAAGGTTCAGAGTGATTTAGAAGGGTGAAAGATATAGGCAATAATATAGAACCTATATTACAGGGTAGGGAAAAAGACACAAAATTTTCATTTGAGGAAATTCAGAAAATTGGTGCCACAAAAAATTGAAACATTTTCCTGACAGTATCTGAATATGCCTGTAAAAAATAACGAGTATGTCTAGTAAATATTTTGGTATAAAGAGTGGATGCTACAAGAGAAAATCAAATTTTGACTTGTCTGGAGGTCCAGCATACTAGTTTAAGCAACAGCATCAGTGGCCAAAATGAGTAAAATATGCAGTTGCGATGGAACAGTATTTTAGAATTCCTTTTGACATCTTTCTGCATTTGGATTTTACTCAGACTTTTGTACCGAAATATTTAAATTCTTCTTGACCCTAAGCACACATCCTAAAACAACTTTATAAATTTAATTAGCAATATGTTTGAAAGTCAAAGCTTAGATGAGATCTTAAACTTGATGGAGACTCTCTGTTGTCTAGATATGAAGTTTTGCTATTAAGACTCTGATATCAAATCTAAGTCTAAATATTAAAACTACATCTATCCAAAAATAAAAGCGGTGATTGCTTAGTCTTGAGGGACATTATTTGGTTCACAGAACTGATAAAACTGGTGATGTCTGTCTGTCATTTGGTCAACAAACTGCTGAAGACCTTTGTGCAAAGAACTAAACTCTAGGGTTTATCACACGGGGCAGCTTTGAAAGTTCTCCCTCCAGAGTATGCCCAGAGGTTTGGCTTTTTTGGTCTATTTTTTTATTTACCTACGCTCCTATCATTGTTTCTGGATTGGACTGTGATTAAATTGTCCCTCAGCCCTACGATTCACCTTTAAAATATGTGAGTTCTAATAACAGTTTTAGCCTCATTGATTTGCTTTCTATTTTTCACTCTCTTGAGAGTTTTGCCCTAACATCTCCAGCTCAGGAAAGAATAAATTTATGCAGGGTTTGAGTTAGGGAACAGCTGGTACTGAAAATGTTTCTCTTCTTTAAGCTCTCTCCCCTCCTTATCCAAACAGAGAAAAGACAGATCTGTTTTCTCCTACTCAAAAGGAGTGGAGTGAAATCCAAGTCCTTCAAAAAAAGACAGAATGCTGTTCTACCTCACTATTCACTCCTACTTCAAACCCTAACTTTTGGATTTGCATCATTTTTAGAATGTTAGACCATTTTTCAATGACATTAGCCTCCCAAGAGGTAGGTGAGGATAAGTTCCAGTTTAAGCAACATTTAAACACAA